AGAGAGAGAGAGAGAGAGAGAGAGAGAGAGAGAGAGAGAGAGAGAGAGAGGGGACAGAAATAAGAAAGAAATAACACATAAATTAAGAAAGAAATAACACATAACAATCGAAGGGGATGCGAAAATTGCATACTTTGCTTTAACATCGTTGCTTTAACGATTCTTTTTTTCGGAATAAGCGAAGTATCTCAGTGGATAGCTTCGAGAGAGCCTGTTAAACAACGTGGATAAGATCAATCGAAATCTTATTATTGTCATAGAGATATTACATACTGTATCCTTCAGGACACACCGGCGTCGGCTGAGAGGATCGAGGGAAGGGGAGAAGGAGGACTCGAAGTAATCAGGGGGTCTGCCAATTTCGGGCGTGCGTTACACACAATACGCACTGTTACGAAGCAACGTCACGTCGAGCCGCCGCGTCGATGACGCCGCCACTGGTTGTCCATCGGCAGCGCTCGTCAAATTTCGCGTGTCTCCGTGAAGGCTCGGGACGCGCGATTGGTAGACGCGCGCCGGCGAGACGCTGCGTCGACCAATCGGCGCGCGCGTTAGAGGGGCACGCTGTTGTCTCTCCGTTAGTATCCTGAGCGAACAGCCGTCCAACTTCAGACGGGTTTTAACATCCAAACCAAGAGGAACTGGGTAACATCTAGGTTCGGCAGCGGCGTGTATTTAACACCAACACCACGATGGCTGACCCGGAGAAACAGCCCGAACAACCTAAGGCTGTCCAGCAGAAGATGGTCATCGGTAAGTCGAAGAACGAGACGAGCGGACACGCTCGTCGGAGTTTTCGTCGCGAACGGTCGCCTCTCCGCCGTCCGTAATGGCGTCCGCACGCTTCTTCACGGCGTTACGTCGCCAGGAGCCATGTGGTCGCCGGCGGCGCGCGGAATTCGGCCAGCCACGTTCCGGGGATCCGCCGCGCCTCGCCGACGTGACTCCTCGGGCGTCTCGGGATGCCGGTTTCCTCGTCGCCGTGCGGCTCTTCCGCGAGGCTCCCTCGCTTGACCATCGATTTTCGCCAACGCCGCGCTTTCCGTTTATCCTCACGGCGCTGCGCCGCGTCGCGTCACGTCGCGTCGTGTGTCGTGAAACGTATAACCTACAAAGCGGGGAACCGCCGCGCGGAAAGCTCTCCGGGATCCCGCTGACGTCGATCCGCGGATCGACGTCCTCGCCGAAGCGTCGATCGCGCCGATCCGAAGTGCCCGTCGTCCCGCGCGCTCCACGCTTCGCCGTTATGTAAGCGCGCGGTCGTCGCGGCTGCAACATGCTTCCCGGTGCGGGAGCACGTGCGTCGCGGCATCTGCTCGATTCGACCGGCCGTCCTCCACCGAAATCTCGAGTTTCTCCTTCGCATTCGGGCGAATTCGCTCGACAAATTTGGCGAAAGCGTCGCGCATTTCTTGTCGCAATATGCAAAATTTTGTGGAGTCAGAACGAGACATGTGCTCTGCTCGCGCTATAAGGTCGCGCGACTCTAACCTTCCCAAGGTTCCCCATATCTATTTAGGAAATGATGCAAGTCCAGCCTCGCGAATCCTGCCGAAACTTGCGCACCGTGTTATTTTGTGGCATACAGTCAAGACGCGTTATTTTTGAGAAATGCACTCGCATCACGTTCAAGCAAGCCAGCCAGCCAGCCAGCTAACCGTGCTCCATGTTGTTGTACGCGTTACACGTGCCTTTGTGATCGCTACCTCGTTTCCCAGGTGATTCTCGAGCAATTTCGAGTATCATCAATACCCAATTTATCATTTCTACAGTTCGTTCTTCGATCACGACCTTGTTTGGATTCCGCTCCAAGGTCGCGCGCGAGGCTGTTATGAAGATAGATCCGAGTCTCTTATCGTATTTTCGTCGCAGGGCGAAATCGGACAACGTTCTCTGTAGCGCGCGAGTTGACCGAGCGAGCGGATTTTATTCCCACCATGAATACCCGTGATAATTCCGACCGCGGCGTGTCTCCCTCGTGATCGTGTCTCGCGAGAGGTGCAACAAGAGAATGCATTCGCTCGATAGTTTCGTGAGAAATGCGGATCGAGCGTGGTTATCATCGATTCTTCCCGCGTCATGTTCCTCTCGCAATCGTATTGTTATTCCCGCCGAACACGTGTCGATTTTCTGTTAGCTCTAATACGTTGCATTATTCTTGGAAACATCACTCGTCACGGGCACTGTAAGATCGTCGAGTTCCGAAGCAACGGTCGTCTGCTTGTAAACACGTGGCGATAATATAAGTTTGTATCGTCAGATATTCTATTATTCCCTTCTTCAAGGTCGCTCGACCACCTTGGCGATAATATGTATGCTCGACGCTATTCCTCTACTCGTATACATCGTAACGCTACGAAATTTTCCCTCGCGCAATTATCAGTAAATTCTCGTCATGCGTCTCTCGCGCTTAATTGGTCTCGCTAATTAGTGCCGTGGCATACAGAAAAGCAGTAAGCAAATTGACCAATTACAATCGTTGATTCTTGTAAGAAAAATCAGCAACTGTGATTGGTCAATTTGCTTACTGCTTGCGTTTTACTGCTTAAGTTTTTCTGTGTACCACGACCCTTAGGCGTGCTGTTTTTCCTTTTCCCTTTTTTGTTTTTCAATAAGTTTTATAGGTACAATCACACTTTCAGTAGATTGTACAAATTGAGAAAATATTGTAGTAAAAGTTACAATAATTTTAAAGTTACAATTTTTTTAAATTTTGAACCGTACAGATATTACTGTCTATTTAAAGAATGTTGTATGCGTGTGTGATTATTTATTACAAAATTTTTGTAATTGAATGCTTTTAGGATGTTGTGTTTTCGGTAGATCGCAAAATTTGTTATTTTTGTAGTGATTTATACTACACTGAAAAGGTTGGTTGGATTAACCAATTTCTGGTCAAATATCAACAGAAATCTTGGTTAAAGTTATCAGAATTCATTCAAGTTAACTAAAAATCTGGTTAACTTAAATAGAATTGTGGTCACTTCAGTCAGGATTCGTTCATATTTAGTTCGTTCAGAACCAGAATCAGAAATTTGCTTAATCCAATCACCTCACTTTCCGTGTACAATGCCAGTATAGACAGCTCGACAAAACAGGTTGCAAAATAAGATAGAAAATTTTCACGTAACTTTTACTAAAATATTTTCCCCGCATGCGCGCGCGCGTATGTGTATAATCAACGGATTTTACGTCATTAGATTAATCACACGTTGTTTTTGCGATTTCAGCTAACAAAGTGACCGGGACTGTTAAATGGTTTAACGTCAAGAGTGGATACGGGTTCATCAACAGGTTAGTAATTGTTACCTTGCGATTATCTCACGACTCGTTTATTCATCTCTTTTTTTTTTTTTTTTTTTTTTTTTTTTTTTTTTTTTTTTTTTTTTTTTTTTTTTTTTTTTTTTGTTAATTCGTTCATCTTTGCTTCACGAAACACTGAACGAGAAAGGATACGTAGACCTATCTGGCACGCGTGGGTGTAAGGCTTAGTCATGCGCTATTAATTTAAACGCCTATTTTGCGCTACAACCGCGAGCGTCGAAGGGTCGCCCCGTTCACGAACTGCTGCATTTTCGATGAAAATCGGCCGAATACGCATTTACACACGTCCCAATTGTTTCTCCCCGTGACACAGCGCGTTTTCCCTCGTCGTAATTCACGAGTCCCGCTTGAAATTGCAGTTGCCGATTCGTTGCGCGTTCGAATAACTCTCGCGACTTCCGCCAGGTATTCCATAAATATATTTCCAAGCAGAACAAATTTCTAAAAGATATTTTAAAAATCTAAAAAACACGCATAGGACATCTTTAAGGTATCTTTTAGAAGTTTGCTTATCTTACTTGTGCTAACCGGCTCTCACGTTTGCGACTGTTTGGCGGGAAAACGTTCGACCTGTCGTTAATGTGCGTTAATGTCAACAGCCATACATCGTAGTCTCTTTAGTCATGTAGCACGAGAGAATAATCAATGAGTTGGCTGTTCGAACAACTTTCCGATAAATTTTGAAGCAAGGTAGATAAAACTCTGTTTACTTTCTGTCTTGGTCAGCGTGTATTCCGTCGTTATCGACGTTTCGTTGCTTTCATCGTCTTATCGGATATTCTTATTCCATCTACATGAGACAAATTATTTAATAAGAAGTTACGATTAATAATTTAAAAACTGACTAAAGGCGACACGATGGCGCTTGACACGATATTATCGCTATTTTATTTATATTATTGTTCAGTTTAACTTTCTACTTTTTTTCACATTAATTATCTCATTACGTCTCCACAACATAAACTTAAGGATCTAAAGCGCGAGCGACTAATCAATCGAATTCCATGGAACTTATAAGGGCAAAACTAATCGCTAATATTAAGGAAACCGACACACACATTTATACAGGGTGTCCCGAACCTCCATGATGACCCTTGGTGAGAACGGATTGAGGTGAACAAGAAAGTCCTGTACCGTTTTGCGATATTCGCAATAATAGTCGAGATATTAATTAAAAAAGATTGGTAAATGATCACACGCAATATAGTAGAGCTGCAGTGGCGCCGTCTGCCGTTGTATACTTAAACATTAAATCAAACTGAACAAAAAAGTCCTTTACCATTTTGTAAATTACCATATAGATTTTTAAATATTAATTAAAGAAAATTTATGCATTATGGTATACAATTATATATGTAACAATTTTCTTTAATATTTAAAAATCTATCATTTGCAAAATGATAGAGGACTTTTTTGTTAATATCTCGACTATTATTGCGAATATCGCAAAACGGCACAGGACTTTCTTGTTCACCTCAATCCGTTCTTTGTTCTCACCAAGGGTCATCATGGAGGTTCGGGACACCCTGTATATATAGTTAGGTCTCACATATATTTATTATCATTTTAAGTTTATATTCAGATACTAGACGACTAGTTTCATTGGCTATAAAACATCTGAATATAAATTTAGGACAATCTTAAATATAAGATTCGACTATGAATACCGCTTTAAGGCTCTTAACTTTCCGCAGAACTCTTGATTGATAATGTCAGGAGCGAAAAAAAAAAATGTACGTAAAAAATTCTTGCAAAATATAGTGAAATAAAATTTTTGCAAAATACGGTAAATAAAAAGATACAATTATAAAATGATATTTGCAATCAATTTGTACGTTTTACATTATTTCGGATTATTTCATATCTATAAAATAGTCTGAACGTTTTCCTTTTTTTACTGTAACAATCAATAAATCGCGTGACACGTACAACCTATCTTTTTTATCTGTTTTTTCACAATTTTTCATGCCAATTTTATGGTTATTTATTGATTGTTAGACCAAAAGGAAAATGTTTGAACTATTTTGCAGATATGCTCGGTTGATTGCAAGTATTATATTTTATGAACATATCTTATTTCTACACACTTCGCAAGAATTTTCTCATTCTTCTGACGTTATAAATCAAGATGACCGCGGCAGAGACACAAGAGCTTTCAGGAATTCATTCACTTAAGCCAAAACGTTTAAAATTATACAAAAATTTGACGTAACATTTAACGCAGTAAAATGTATTCGTAGTTAAAGTTTTATGCAGGTTATATGCACCGTTCAGAACAAATGTTTAATATTGAATATCGGAATTTTTTGCACATATAATTTTACGATAGAAATAATATGAATGACTTATTCCACTATAACTTCGTAAAAGGTGATACTATTCAAATAAAAAAATTACCAATGCAAAAATTATTTTAGACTAGAAAACTGCTGTTTTATTTATCTTTGAGTGGCATTGTACTGAATGAAACGTAACAAGAAATTACTACGAAATTAGTTTCAAAATAATATTCATGATTTAGATAATTTTTCGTTTGGTAAATAGTGAATTTCTGAGTAGCGCCCTTGATGCGCCACTGAAAATACGCTCCTTAGGCGCCTTGAAGATACATATCTGGTGAACAAACTCCTTGAGAAATTGATCAAGATTGCTTTACTTACTGCATATTGAACTCGGAGACGAGGCGCTTGACACGATATATCTAAAGTCGCGCGAGCGACTAATCAATCGATCCCACGGAACTTATAAGGGTGAAACTAGTCGCTAATATTAGGAAAACCGTCGGTTTCTCCCGCTGCAAGTCGACTCGACCTGCAACCTCGACCTGGCATTCTGCCGCACGGAAAATAGACACCTCATTCGGCACGTGCGCGGGCACAGGAGCGACGCGCAGAGCCGCTTCCTCGCTATTTTCGAGATCCCGCCGTTTATCTCTGGCCGGGCGCCAGGAAATCCTTCGTTCGCGTCAGACTCAGCAACGCCGGGTTCCTCGGCGTGTCGTGTCGCGCCGCGCCGCGCGCAGAACCTCCGGCGACGACGGCGAGTGCGCGTTTCCGTTCGCTGACGAGTCGCGCGAGTCGAAGCGGGTCCCGCGGTCAAGGGAAAAGGCCACGTCGTCGACGCGACCGGAAGGAAAAGAAAAGAAGGGAAGGGGGAAGATTAAAGGACGCGGTGCACGCCTCGCTCGGTTCTTCCGGTTGCCGTCGCGTTCCTCCTCCTCTGTCGCCAGGTTGATGAGCGCCCTCGCGCTCATTGTTTTTAAGGAGTTTATTCACTTAAACCAAAATCATAAAATTATAAAAAATATAAAATAGCATATTTTTATCGCACAATAAAACACATTCGTACTTAAAGTACTTTCATGCGATTTATGTCTGCACCGTTCGTGAGAAATTTAGGGAAGATCGGGGCTAGGTGTCTATATTTTAGAATTTCAAAGTTACAACTTCTCAGGCAATTAATTGTTGGATTGACTGTATAAACATGATAGAGGCAACTTTTTTCTGTATACTAATACACGCCACGACAACCCTGTTAACTGTATATTTTGTTTTGTAATAATCAAAATACGAACATGCAGCAACATGGGCCTTTTTGCTAATATTAGATTCAGTTGCCCAATAGTACAGGATAAGAAAGCCACATATAAATTACGTATTTTGATTAGTAGTTCCGGAAATAGTCTCCACGAAAGGTCTTCACAGTCCTCCTGCCGGTTCTTAAATATAAGCCAATTTTATTTCTTTCGTTCTTATGCTCTATTTCAATTAATCTGTGAATAAAAATTGCATTTATTATTAAAAAGTATATCATATACTTGCAAGAAATTTCATTCTAGCGTTTAATTTTATTCAGTCACAATGGAGAATATTAATAAAAAATTTCGAGAGGCTCGAAAATTTTCTTTGCTATTATCAAAACAATTTTTTTTATTTTTTAACTGTAATATTATTCCGATTTTAGTAAATCTTAGAGAAAAGTATTTATGTTCGAAAAGGACCATTTCGCGATTTTGTACCTACATTGAAAGAAAAATTATATTAAAATTAACAAATATTTTCTTGATGGGCGTCATTAACATATTTTTACTTAAATATACATTCTCTTTATTTAAATCAAATATTTTTTACTTGATTTAAATAAATAATATTTGGTTTAAATAAAGAGAATGTAGATATAAGTAAATATGTTAATCAAAGAACTCATCAAGGAAATATTTGTTGATTTTAATATAATTTTTCTCTCAGTGTACTATTTCTCTCAAGACAAATACTAAAAAAAGCACATGATAATACACCCCTGACCATACAATCCCGGTCACCCATAATACTGAATATTGCCATTTTGCACATATAATCTTATGGTAGAAGCAATACAAGTGATCATTACTCCACTATAACTTCGTAAAAAGTGATATCATCCAAATGAAAAACTTACCGTCACAAGTGCCATATATGGAAGTGAACTGAATCTAAATGTTGCAGTCATTTCTAGTAACTCTTATATCCGGCAAAGGAAATCGAACAGAATTCTAACGTTGTGGCTATGAACCTTTAAGGCTTTCGCACGCGAATTGCCGTAACTGTAGACATGAGACGTAGTTTTAGCTGAAGAACCAATCAGGATTTTGCTATAGTTTTGTGTGCTCTAGAATGAGACAGAACTGCCGTGTAAATCTGATGGTGTGCAAGAGTAACTATAGGATTCGTTTGGTTGAAATCCAAATCACTCAGTCTGAATCCTACTTATACGTTCATTTTCAATCTTCTTCTAGCTGGGAGAATCTTCAAGCGATACAACGATTGGTTCTTTAGCTTGAGTTTACGTCTTATGTTCACGGCTACGTGAATCCGTGTGCGAGAGCCCTCAGACTCGGCGGCGAACGGGCGCGCAAGTCGCACCTCTCCGGGAGCTCTCGAACGCGCACTTTCACCGGCACTGGACACCAGCGATTCTCGCCGCAAAACGTT